ACTTTTGTCTGAAACATTTTTCTTTAAAATGCTTTGTTTCGAAAATAATTTCGTGTGTTGATTAAAATGACTCACACTGTATACATATAGAGCCATAACTATACTTCAATATTTCCCTTGCCCCGCAGGAAGGGCCTGGGGACGGATTAATGATGGGTATTAAACTATAGACTTTCAATATAATAAAAAATATAGGAACGCAGCCACTGTCAGTGCTAAAAATCTATAATTTATGTCACGTACACTATAGATTTTCAGTATTGGCAGCGAATATTGAAACGTAGCTTATATCATACATTATCTAATAATTCTAGGAAGACCAAGAGGAACTCGCAGTGGAGCGCGAGAACAACAACAGCGTTTCATGAGATTTTTATATCAACTGTCTTCCGCCCATTACAATTGGGGAAGAGGGAATCCAAGAAGAGGAAATCTAAGGAGAAGACAAAATTAAATAAAATATTTTTTATTTTATTCTTTATCAGAATTAGATTATAATTTATTTTTTTTTATTTGTTTCAGGCAAAAGAAGTAATGTTTCAGTTATCAGTATTAAGTGATTAGATCATCCCACCAATACATATGTGTATTTTTAAAAACATAAGAATTTTAACTTAAAATAAAATTATAACTATATATTTAGGCTACGTTCCAATATTCACTATCACTACTGAAAATCTATGGTTTACGTCACGTACAATATAGATTTTCAGTATTGTCAGTGAATATTGGAACGTAGCCTAAGTATATAGTTATAATTTTATGTTAAGTTAAACTTTTTATGTTTTTAAGAATACACATATGTATTGGTGGGATGGTCATCGGTAGAATAGTCTAATCACTTAATACTGATGACTGAAACATTATTTTTTTTGCCCGAAATATAATTTTGATAAAGAATATAAGATAAAGTTTATTATGTCTTTAAAAATATGTACACTTTTACTTTTTTTATATGACTTTCTTATATCTTTAAAAATTAGTTTTTTTTTTATATGTATATGACTTTATATTTGTATTGCTGAACATGCATAAGTAACAAGCAGTATTAGTTGTGTCTATTATAGTGAGCATATATTGAGTATATACTTAATTAATTTTATATTAAGTTAAAGTTTCTTAGTTTTATATTTTAGTTTTCTTTTTAATACAAAGTCTATCTTACTTATGCACGTTCAGCAACACAAATAATTTATATAAAGTCATAAAGACAAATAGTTTTTATAAAGTTATAAATTAAAGACATAAACATTATCTTAATATAAAATATTGTACAATAATAACAATATTGTACCTGATTAATATGATATAACAAGCAACATTGGCTGTGTCTATTGTAGTGAGCATATACTGAGTATATATTTAATTTTATATTAAGTTAAAGTTTCTTAGTTTTGTATTTTGGTTTTTTTTTATACAAAGTCTATCTTACTTATAAATTAAAGACAAATAGTTTTTATAAAGTTATAAATTAAAGACATAAACATTATCTTAATATAAAATATTGTACAATAATAATATTGTACCTGATTAATGTGATATAACAAGCAACATTGACTGTGTCTATTGTAGTGAGCATATACTGAATATATACTTAATTTTATATTAAGTTAAAGTTTCTTAGTTTTGTATTTTAGTTTTATTTTCAATACAAAGTCTATCTTACTTATAAATTAAAGACAAACAGTTTTTATAAAGTTATAAATTAAAGACATTATCTTAATATAAACATTATCTTAATATAAAATATTGTATAATAATAACAATATTGTACCTGATTAATGTGATATAACAAGCAGCATTGGCTGTGTCTATTGTAGTGAGTATACTGAGTATATACTCAATTAATATAAAATATTGTACAATAATAACAATATTGTACCGGATTAATGTAATTATACAGTTAATTTTATGTTAAGACACATATTCACAAGAGATTTTATTTTACAGTGCATGATGAAATTGTTACTTCTGATTTTGTAGTGAAATTAATAATAGATGTTCATGCAGTCGTATAATTCGTATTATCTATATACGCGCTTTTCTTTATCGACAAAAAATACTACCATTTTTTAATCAAATAAAGTTTATTATGTCTTTAAAAATATGTAGCACTTTTATTTTATTTATATGACTTTATTTTTATATCTTTGATTTTATACGTGTATGACTTTATATTTGTGTTGCTGAACAAGCAGCATTGGCTGTGTCTATTGTAGTGAGTAATATAATATATGCAAATGTTCAAAAATTAATGATTGTCTCACACAACATTATAAATGAATAAATGACTAATTTAATAAATAAATATTCAAAATGATTTCTTTCTCGAATTTCACTATTAGAGATAAATTAGTTCCCAATTATTAATTTAATATAATATATGATGTAAATTTCTAACTAATATACATGTATATGTGCATATGTGTACATATATAAGATGTTCATTCACAATATATTATATAACACTTTAATATGGCATTTAAATTCTTACACGTTCTTGAAGAACTTATTAACAAAATTTATATTTCTTTATTAAAAGCATTATTAATAGCATTAATAATAATGACAATTAATAGCATCGACAATTAAGAACATTTATTTAAAGTAACACTTCCAATAATTTTGTTTTAATTTAAAAATGATTGTACTATAAATGCAATTAATTAATTTATAACACTTGCAATAATTTTGTTTTAATCTAAAAATGATCGTACTATAAATGCAATTAATTAATTTATTTTAATTGTAACATGTGTTGCATACGTGTGTACATGTGTTATATACGTGTAATACGTGTAATAACATATTACGAAGCGCCAAGCGCCAGCGCCATCTGTTGTCGACAGCGGCAGTCGTACGCCAAATTTTGTTCTATATATATTGTTTGATGACCACGACGTGGACGTTTCTTAATCATATTTTCACGATTTTAGAATTATATATCGCGATATTTTCACTTCTACAGCTCGTAGAGTAAAAATAAAGACACTTTTACTATATAATTCGAACATAAGCTATCGATTAAGTCTAATAAGAGCTCGATCCGTTCAGCGGTTATCGTATATATAATAATATGAAATAATCTGAACTGGTCTCAATTCCCGTCTCGCGTAAAGAGACACGGTGCGCGTCTTGCTACGGAGATGAACTCGACGCAAGACACTACCGTGTCTCTTGATAAACTTAGCAGTACTATCAGTAGGTTTGCCACTTTACCATTTCTTGTTTGTGGCGATTTTAATGCGCACTCGACATTGTGGGGCTCGACTTCCTTGAATAGGCGTGGCGAACTAATTACGAGATGGTCGGCAATGTTCGATCTTCGTTTACTTAATACTGGTGTAGCATATACGTGTATCAGACCACAGGGTGGATCAATTGTGGATTTATCGTGGGTTTCCTCTGGCTTGGTTGACTGTGTGGAGGGCTGGTCGGTGCTGGAACGAGTCGAAACTCTCTTCGATCATCTGTACATTGCCTTTACTCTTAAAGAACACATATTTAAAAAAGGCAATGTTTTTAATCACAAGAAATGGAATTTTAACAAATTAGATGATGAATTATTCTCTGAGACTCTTGAATTGCTGACTAGTGCGATTCTACCGGATAGTATAGACAATAATTTGAATCAATATGTAGATTGGATTCGCAGTATAATGCGTAGTGCTTGTAACACAGCTGCTCCTTTAGTTAAAAGTAAAAACCAGCGTCGCCAGATGTATTGGTGGATAAGCGAAATATCTGATCTTCGAAGTTCGGCTATTAAAGCGAGAAGATTATGGCATCGTTGTAGGCATAGCACGGATACTGCAGATATCTTAGCTAAGAAAAATAATTACATGTTAGCGAAAAAGGTTCTTAGATCGGCAATAAAGAAGGCTAAGAGCTCTTCATGGGCCGAACTAATATCATCAATTGAAACAGACCCATGGGGTCTACCCTATAAATTAGTTATGAGGAAATTGCGTAAGTCTAGCCCCACTTTGTCAGAGACTATTGGAGAAGATAGTCTTAACCAACTCTTGGATTCACTTTTTCCTGGTTCCTCGAGTGGAGTGGATAATCCAATCCTCCCTGTAACCCTTCCATCAGAGGAGGATGAGGAAACCAACGTTAATATAGCTCAAATTAAAAAGATTGGTCAAAAAACGACCGTGTAGGAATGCAGCACCAGGTCCTGACAATTTAAAAGCTGCAGTATGGAAAAAGGTACCGGAAATTGTACTTAAGCACCTGGCTAATCTCTTCACGTTGTGCCTTAAAACTGGAAGTTTTCCTAAACTCTGGAAAAGATCCATCCTAATTCTTATTCCAAAAGGGAAAAGTACCATCACGGAAGGTATAAAAGCATGTCCGATTTGCCTCCTTGATGAGATAAGCAAAATTTTAGAAAGGGTTATTTCTGACAGAATTAACAAATGGTTAAAAGAGGATGAGGTTCGCTCACTTTCCCAAAATCAATTTGGCTTTAGAAGAGCAAGATCCACTGTTGACGCCCTCGCTAAAGTACGCGAACTGACATTGTCGGTTATGAATGAAAATGGATAGGCGATTGCAGTTGGATTGGATGTGGCTAATGCCTTTAATTCGATTCCTTTTAGCGTTATCCTAGCAGCTATGAAATCCATGGGATTCCCTCATTATTTGCGTAGGATTGTTGCTGATTACCTTTCTGATCGCTATATCGTGTATAGGAACTCTGCAAATCGGATTGTAGAACGCAAAGTTCTCGCTGGTGTTCCGCAGGGGTCGGTTCTTGGGCCACTCCTGTGGAATATCGCATTTGATTCGGTTCTTAGGCTTGCATCTGAGGAGGGTGTCATACCGTATGCTATGCGGATGACACCCTGATTATTGCCTCCTCGCATAAGCTTTTTGGAGCAATTGTAAAAGCAAACTTACAAATCGCGAGGGTAGTTTGGCACATAAAAAAGCTAGGTTTGTCGGTCGCTGAGACTAAAACTGAGGCAGTCCTTTTTTCGAAAAGAAAACCGATAATGATGCCCATGGTGACAGTAGGAAGTTCGCGTATTCAGGTAGGTGATTCCATGAAATACCTGGGGGTAATGATTGATGGTCTCTGGAATTTCCGCAGTCATTTTAAATACGTTGAAAATAAGGCGGTTAAAGTAAATAGAGCGTTAAACAGATTAATGCCTAATCTTAGAGGGCCTGGTGAGCGTAAGAGGAGGTTATATGCCACTATTTTTACTTCAGTGGTTATGTATGCCGCACCGATTTGGAGTGAAGCCTTTGCATCAGCCTCGGACAGAGTCACTCGTCCATTGCGCAGACTACAGCGCACCTGTGCAATTCGGTCTGTTGCATCGTATAGAACGGTGTCCTTTGATGCGGTGACCCTGTTGGCTGGATTTCCTCTTTGGAAATTCGAGGCAACCTTGCGGTGTCGTATATACAATAGATTCATAGATCTAAAGGCTAGAAATGTGTTCACGCACCAAACGGATGCGGAGGTTCGCAATGGTGAGAACCTTCTACTTTTGCGACAGTGGGACGTCTACTTAGGTAGACCTGGAATTTCGGGTCTAAAGACGGTGTCTGCGCTTCGTCCGTTCTTAGGCAGATGGTTAAATCGGAATTTCGGAGAGGTCAATTATTACATGTCGCAGATGATGACCGGACATGGCAGTTTTGGTCATTTCTTGTATAGGATAGGTAGACGCGATACGGCGGCATGTTATCATTGTTCTTCTGCTGATGATTCGTTGGATCACACTATTGCCGAGTGTTCAGCCTGGGACATTCCAAGATTTGAGTTTAGGCGTAAAATGGGTTTAGGAAATAATGACAGCTTAACCCTGAGGGTAATAGTTGAAAAGATCCTTCAAAAGAAGGAGTACTGGAATGCCTTCTCACACTTTGCCGTTGTCGTTCTTAAAGTGAAGGAGGAGGAGAGGAAGCGTGAGGGAGCCTCTTCTCCCTCGTTCCCAATTCGAGGACCTCCATAGTTTTGCCTCTCACTTATATGAACTTATCATTTCCCTTAATCCTGCATTTCCATTCCATTACGATTATTTTCATTTTCATCTTCATCTCCATCTTCGTGTCATCTTCATCTTCACTCTCATCCTCATCTCCATCTCCATTTTCACTCTCATCTTCACTTCCATCTTCATTTCATCCCCATCTTCATCTTCATCTTCACTTTCATGTATATCTTTATTTCACCTTTATCTTCACTTTTTTTTTTGTTTTTTTTTTTCGCTTACAAGTTCAGCACTTATACTTATAGAGGAGCAACCTGCCGTGGCGGAGTGGGTGCGGGGTGGTCTCGGTGCCTATTAACCTCCTATCTCCCCTTCACGGTGGGCGGGGCATCTCAGTAATTGCACAGTGGCGCTGGGATGCCCCACTTATTATCATAATTTGATCCGTGCTTGCCACGCTTGGTCAATTTTGGTTATAAGAAAATAAAAATTTTTAGCTGTTGATGCATGTTTTGCGCATACGCATGGTGACTTCCAGAAGTTATGCGAAAGCGGTCCCCGGCAGTCGCCGTTGCGGTTAGGATGCCACCGGTGTGGTTTAGCGGGTAGTCGGCTCGGGGTGGATGCATCTCGACCGGAGTCCCGCAGCCTCCCAAAGCCTACCCAAAGCCTCCCCCGAGGTGGAGGGTGTCCGTCAATAGGATTCCACATCGGAAAAAAAAAAGGTCCCCTCCGTCTAGTACAGGGAAACCTGGCCCCCCGAGGTCGGCATCGTCACGGCGAAGGGTCCGCCTTCCCCTCGCTAAATAAAAAAAGCGGAGGCGGGGACACGGGTTAGGAGTCGACGTTGCACGGGGCCTGCCCACCCTTGAATAAAAAATCGTAGGCAGAACGGGTGTAGAGGTGCCTCGCGATGGAGACACAAATCACTTCCACAATCACTCTACACAAATTGCTTCCACGAGGAAGCGAAGCTTGGCTCTACAATGAGAGCCCCGGGTATGTCAAGGCCCATCATGTCGTGGATGCGGCATGGTGGGAAAAAGGGTTGTGCCTCCGGAAATTCGAAAGCACACTTAGATCGAGTCACGGATGCCGTCGAGTGGCGTGGTTATATCAGGTGACGGCTGCTACCTCGTAGAGCCTGAGGCTGATATACCACAGCAGAGGTCTGCATTCCTCCTGTGAAATAAAGCGGATGCAGGGACACGGGAAGGGTCGATGAGGGTGACGGACCATTCCTGACCTTTCGGGCGATGGAATGAGGAGTCCCGAGCTTATCATCCACAAGGTGGGGTACGCTTTCCTCTAGCCGGAAAACGCGGAGCGAACGGTGCCGGGGTGCATCACACGATGGTAATCACCACGGTTAAATGGTTGGTGCCTGGGCGGTGGGCACACCCTTCGATCGAGCGGTTTCTTTGATCAAACGCTGGGGGAAGTCGCATCCCCCCCAGTAGTAATCAGAGGATACTCCTCTTCTTCTCTGCCGAGGGGGCCCCTCCAATGAGAGGAGCTCGGTTGGAGGATGGGCTCGCTTCTCAACACA